ATGCTCCTGGTTTTAGTAGTTTCCATAGTCCGGCGTCCTCTAAAATTCAATTTCTCTAAAATTTTTCAAATTCACTGGAAGGAACATAGTTTAATAATATTTTAAATGCTTATGGAAACATGCTTGATCTATCATTTTGTAATCTGAAACTAAACCTTGTTGTTGATCATGCTGAATAAACATTTGTCAAGGAAGATGCTAACCACCCTGCTCTATCAATTAATCTTGATTTAGAAACTTATGAAAAAACTAATCCTATTCCAATCACATATAATAACCGTTTCAATTTTCGGAAAGCTAACTTTAATATTCTTTATGGTGATCTTCTGCGTAAAGATTGGTCTTTTCTGCAACAACTTAATAATGTTGATCATGCGTTGGAGATGTTTTATTTTCATCTTTATGGAATATTTAAAGCCTCAGTTCCGTATTACAAACAACGTAATATTCGGTTTCCTCCGTGGTTTAGACCCGAAATTATTTAAATTTAAAACTTAAAAATAAATTTAGAAGGAAATGGCTAGCAAATGGTAATGACTCAATGCGTAATGAATTTAGGCGATTACGAAGAATGTGTAAATCTCAAATATTACTGGCATATAATTCCTACATGAAAAAGGTTGAAGAGTCCACAATATCAAATCCCACTGAAATATTCAACTATATGGATGTGAAAAAAGGTACTACAAGGGTACCTGAAAAGATGTTTGATTGTATTAAATCCTATGATTCTCCTCAAGATATTGTTAATGCTTTTGTTTCTATATTTTCTAACAATTATCTTCCTAAAGTAGATGTTAGCATACAAGACGTTCCGTCAAAGTGTCTTTGTGTTCAGCTACAGCCAGTTACGGAAGATGAATTGCTTAAATACATGGCCCGTTTTCCTGCTAAACACACTTCTGGAGATGATCAAATACCGAGCTTCATTGTACATGATGTAAGATTTACACTCGTAAGACCACTCTTGTATATTATTAACTTAACCACATCAACGCCCACATTTCCTGGTTTATGGAAGAGAGCTTGAATAACTCCTGTTTATAAGAAAGATGATAAGACACAATTAAAAACTATCGACCGATTGCCATTCTTTCAAACTTCGCAAAATTATTTGAACAGGTCACTTATACTTGCATTTTTAATGGTACTCATCGTTGTATTTCAACTAATCAACATGGCTTCTTATCTCGGAGATCCACTACAACTAATTTATTAAATGTTACACAATACATTGCTGAAGAACTGGACAAGAGGACAAACAGATGTTATTTATACTGATTTCAGCAGTGTCTTTGACACGGTGGACCACAATTTATTGTTAAACAAACTTAGTGCTTTCGATCTTGTTCCTTCTCTTGTGAAGTTTATGGAATCATATCTTTCTAATAGGAATAACTGTCTTTTACAATGGCTTTAAATCTAGTGAATACATGTCAACATCCGGGGTCCCACAAGGATCAAACCTGGGCCCCTTGTTATTTGCGTTGCATATTGATGATCTGGTTTCTTCTCTTACTTGCAATGTTCTTGGTTTTGTGGATGATCTGAACATTTTTTCCACCATCAAGGATTTTGAAGATTGTTCACTCAATAGTTTAAAGATCAATTGGAATAAATGTTATTATGTTACATTTACTGCTTACACTGTAAATGGTAATGCTTTGACACTTGTTGACAACATAAAAGATCTAGGTGTGATATTTGATACAAATCTTACATTTTCACAACATATTGATACTTTAACTTCAAACTTGTCTAAGATGTTATGTTTTATTATGCGTGCTTCGGCACATTTTAAAAATCCATTGTTATTAAAAACCTGGTATTTTCCGTTTATTGTTAGTAAAGTGGAATATGCATGTATTGTTTGGCAACCACATTATACAAACCGTCAATTACAGACAGAACGTATTCAGAGACGATTTTTGAAATTTCTTTCTTTCAAATGTGATGGAGTATATCCTTCTAGAAATATTGATTATCAGCTGTTACTAGATCAACATAATTTTAAGTCTCTAATTGAAAGAAGAAACATTTTAAACGCTAGATTTATGTGGAAATTAATTCATAACTATGTAGATTGTGCCCAGCTTCTTGCTAATATTAATTTTCATGTGCCACGTTTATTTTCGCGTTATTCATCTACATTTTGTGTACCAGCCCCTAAATCCAATGTATTAAGGAATTCACCAGTACATAATTTATGTCGGAATGCTAATAATGTATATCTTGACATATTTTTTGATAAAATTTAATTAATCAGGAATTAGGATAGTACTTTGGGTAGCCAAAATTTATAGTAAACCTGTTCTTTGTTCTAATGTCGATATTATTCTATTATATATTTATAGTGTAAAGAATGTATTTAATTTAAATTTTTTATTTTGTCCTGTTATTAGGGTTGTACCTGTTGGGCCATAAAGGATTATTATTATTATTGCTGAAATAGAAAATGTTCAACGAAAATTCTACATGTATCTTGTATCTATATTTTAAAAAAATATTATATTTACCCTGTTCAAGTCTACACCCAGGATCGTTGTTAGAATTCAGGATGCATTCATTAGAATTAAGACGCAATCTTTCAGCACTTATATTTCTTTACAAAATTGTAAATGGTTTAATAAATTAGCCCTCAATGTTGAAATATATTAACTTAGATGTACCGCGAATGAATTTACGAGAATTAGAAATAGTCCGGTCAAAATAGACTTTTCAAATAACAAAAACTCCGACAGAGCTGAATTTTGGTAGAAACCTTGGGTACACCAGTAGAAATAAAGTGGCAAAAGTCCCCATAGATCTCATGTGTGCTAAAAAAGTTATTCAAGGTCAAAAGTCAACATTTTTGGTTTTTTGGATTTTTCTCGAAAACAGTAAGTTTTATCAAAAATATACTTCAGACATGACCTTAGTTATATTAAGAGTCTGATGTATATACGTGGAATTTGTGTGCATATAATGTAGAATGCAACTCCTTCAACTTTTAGAACAATTGGCGATATCTTAGGAATGGTCATTCTTAGGGAAAAAAGTATAAGGACCATTTTTGTATATAATTTTAAGCTCTATAATTTTCGTCTGAACTATATTTTTGATAAAACTTACCGTTTTCGAGAAAAATCGAAAAAACCAAAAAAAATGGCTTTTGGCCTTGAATAACTTTTTTAGCACGCATGGGATCTATGGGGACTTTTGACAATTTATTTCTACTGGTGTACCCAAGGTCTGTACCAAAATTCACCTCTGTCGGAGTTTTTCTTATTTAATCACTATTTTTATATCTATTTTAACCGGACTAAAACATTTTCTTGTGAAATACCTAAAACCAACCAACACATGCCCCCACCGCTTTATAATATGTTTACCGTACTAGTAAGTAGCATAAAAACCTGGACATTTTCATTCAGAACATGGACGCATTTATAAAAAATTAACACATCTTATAATTAGTCAGTTACACGTGTAATTATATATGTGTCATTTCATGTAAGTTTGATTGTTTAATTATTTAAATCTTTTTATTTAGTATTCTATCCTCTTCTGGAGCAACTGGTCTGCTGGATAAATAAATTATTATTATTATCTTTATTATTTTCGGATAAGTCTACTTTCTGTTTGAATGGACATGTTAATCGCCATAACAGTAGATACTGGTCCAATACAAATCCACACTGGATGGGGGAGGTTGATACACAGTACCTCCAAAAAATTAATGTTTGGTACGGCATTAACGGGAATTTAACATATGACAAATACCTCCAACGAAGATTATTCCTCGAGTTAGACAAATATTTGACAACTATGAAAACCCAAATACCTGCAGAGTCCTTCTGGTTCCAACAAGATGGAGCACCACCTCACTTCGGACGTCAAGTATGGCATTAATTGATTAAAGCTTCTCCTGGAAAGTGGATAGGATGAAGGGGAGCAGTTGAGTGGCCAGCTAGGTCACCCAGTTTAACCCCACTAGACTTTTTTCTGCGGAGATATGTAGAAAATCGAGGTTATGTTAATGGACCACAAAGCATCGAAGAACTCGATTATTCGAACGTATTTACTATTACCAAGAAGTAAATGGACAACATTCCGAGCATTTGTTATAAAATTATTGCTTCATAATTGTTCAGTTGATCTTTTTTCATTACTGTAGTTTTTTATTTAATTTTTCAATAAGCTTTCATAGCAATGCACTCACTATTTACAATCTTTAAATCGGACTATTGTTTTTTCTATAATATTTTATAAATTATTTGGAAACAGCTTTTAAATCAATCTGTTACGCTGGCACCTTTATTTCATTTTACGTACCCTCAGTTCTATATATTTTTTTTATTTTGAGAATATATATTGCCATGTTAGGAAAAAATAAAATAATGCGTGCGTTACATTTCTGAACTAAAAAAAAATGCACTATTTAAAAACGAAATATTTGACTAGCAGTGCTACTTAAAAAAAAAAACAAATTATCCATACATCTCAAAAACAAATGAAGTACAAAATTTGAAAAAAATGCAGAAAATAGAACTTGAGTATTCCTAGGGACAGCCCAAATTTCAAATAACAACTGATTTTGTTATTATTGTAATTATTGGTATTGTTAGTGTTAATTGCTACTGTTTTATTATTATTAATATTATTCTTATCATTAATGTTATTCCTGTATATTTATCTCGGTTTTTGAGACGCTGATCTCACCTGCGGATTAGTGAGCCAAGGATAAGACGAGATGTATTAGATTTTCTCACTGCCACCATCTCTCATTTAACACTTAATCAAATGTCTCTTAATTGGTAGACTTGGGTTCGTTGCGTTAGAGAAGATTTAATTAAACCAAAAATCTAATTTTTAGTAACTGAATGTTACCATATAACAGACAAATGTCACATCAACTAATTCACGTAACGTAAATAATGAACCTTTAAGGAGAAAAAAAGAAAGAACAATATAAAATTTTAACCCGAATCTTACAAGGACCAAAATTCGAAATTTCTTACCTTTGTATCTTTGGCGTAGTATAATTTGCGTCCTTTCAATTTGAAATACCTTCTTCTCCATCTCTGAAATGACCAGGTCTGTTTCAACAAATATCCTTCCTTGATGGATGCCTGAAACAAAAAAACATGTTAAAACGGTAAATGAAGGTCTGTTCTAATGACAAAAACTTCATTTAATCATATGTGTATTGCATAGAAGTTGGAATTTTACAAATGGAATTTTGAGGTTATTCCCCCAATAGTTAGTCAAATACATAATACATTTAAAGCTTATGATTTGTTTGAAATAGTAAATGGAAACAAGCTTATATCTAGTGTACAATTACCACTGGCAAAGAGAATACAGACTTATACGTTGATAAGCACAATCTCAATTGTGAAAACCGGGCAGTTCAATCAATATTGTTCAAGTGAAAAATAAATTGACGATATATTTACCAAACCTCTGGGAAGCGTTAAAACTGAAAACCTGAAAAAAAAAATTATGACAAGTAAAAAGCGACATAATCTTAAAATTTGGAGGTTCCGTGTTGATATGACGTAAATAATGAACATTAAATTTTAAGATTAGTCATTCGTATTAAAAATATATAGTTGTCATGTAAAAATAACACAATAATAAAAAAATAAAATCGGAAAGCTTCACAAAATCTATGTAATTTAGTTAAAGTTTGGGAAACTCAGATCGGTGCGATGTGCACTTTTTTTGCTTTTCAGTAAAAAAATTGTAGCTAAAGTTTACTTCGATATGTGCAATGAACGTAAATAATAATTCGACTTTAAAATACCAAAATTCTAAATTTTATTTGCGGAATTGCGCTGATCGACTGTACCAGACTTCGAAAAAAAACATAAGAAAAATAACAATCATCAGTGAGCACAGGCAGCTGAAAACGGTTTTGGCGTCTGAGTCAATAATCCCGCTATTGCTAAATGCCGTAAAAAGAAATAATAGAAATATCCTTCCTACGATATCGTTAAGGTGAAAAATCGACCTTCGCTACTAGTAAAAAGACGGTATGTGTCTGTTATAAACAATTAGTACATTTCAGTCGGTTTTATCATAGACAAATAATACTCATCGTACAATCCTAAATCCAAATACTTTATTTTATGTAAGTTACAGAAATTTTAGCACGCCACCTTAACAAAACATTTAATAATTTTTAAGAGATCCAAGCTTCCAGTGCCAGCGTTATAAATTTTCAATTGACTAACCTGCATTAACTAGAGAACCGTACAATGTTATCACTTAACAATTCTGTAAAGTTAACATAAACCATTAGAAAGCAGGGTCGTGTAATAATGTTAAAATATACTCGAGAGAATAGGCAGGAGAGGAAATTAATAGCAGGGATTTACCGTCATAACTTATAATAACTGCTTAAGTTTATATTACCAAGGCTGATGTAACATTCTCGCAACTCGTAAGTGTATTATTGTGAAATAAAAAAATAAATGAAATGTTTTCTTTGGTGGTGGAATGTTTTAGAATTATAAAAAAAACTTTTGTTTATTCGTAAAAAAAACACCCCTTTCCCAATTTAAATAATACAGTCATCGTAAAATCATGTTATTTTTTTAACAGGCCGATATATTTGACGTCTCGCATCAGTGAGTATTTTTAATTGCTAAAACAAATGCACACAGTGATCAAGTAATTGCTCAGAAATAAAAATAAACTTCCTTGCTGTCGAGGGAGTATTTTGGAAACAGATAATTACCAAATTTTGACTGTAAATAACGGATCGTAACATTAGTTGTATTGTATCTACTAATTGTGATTATTATCCGACGAGACGCTAACCGAGTTTGATAAAACGACGATAAAAAAACTGGCACGCTCCAATTGCATGAACTTTTTTTTTCACTTCTGGAAATATATTTCAGCCCATGGTCGGTTTTTCGTCCGAAGTAAAATGTGCAAACAACTGGTTAGTATGCACACATTTGGAAATATGGCGAAGACTATGAATCGCAAGTTTTCTAAAACTTGTTGATCCAGATAAATATACTGGCCATTCTTTCAGAAGGTCTTCTGCCTCCTTATTAGCAGATCTCCTCTCTGTTAAGTGTCACGGGGCTTGAAAAAGCAGAAAGTTCAAGTGAAAATAAAAGAAAAACGTCCGCAGTAATTCTTGGAGAAAAAGTACTCAAGTTCAGAATGTGGAAAACAAGTTTTAAATGGTATCAGAGAATGAATCATTTTCTTGCAAGGTTCTATCTTTCAAATTGAATCAACGTTTAAATTAAATTTAATCAAATACTAACCACATACTATTTAAAAATCTCGAATGAGAAGTTATTAAATGTAAATAATAACTTAAGAAAGGTTCCAAACGTGAATTTAATTTCTAACTATAAGTACTTACTTATAGTCTCATTATTCGTAATTTTATAACACAAGAGCATTATGAATAATTTCCATTTAAGAGAAATGTTTTTACGCTTTTTGATTTCTTCTCTTCCTCTAAAAAATGGTTTAGAAGCAGTCTGCTTTAGAAATTATTGTTATATTTTTAGGTATTAAATTATTTCGCAAGGTTGCACAAAACGAATGAACAAACACAAAAATGAAACAAAAAACCGCACATTTTTAAATGACAGGTAAATATTTAACATTTCGTGCCTGGCTAAACCTCTCGCCTTAGGCCCATAATGACCCTTTCGCATAATAAGCGGTTAATGTGTAATGCTTGACGGTTGTAAATCCAACAAAAAGCCTCTGAGACAAGAAGTGGCGCACACTTTGAATGGTTTCATAATCTCACAACTCCCAACTTTTCACGAGCTTAACCTTTGACATTTTCCTTTATGTACAAAGTTTCGCCAACAATAAGCTTCGCAGCCCTTCGTTTCAATCCCATCACAAAAAAGCTTTTTCCTTATTGTAATAATCTTAAGAAACAACAGAGGCGCCATTTTAACGCGCCTCAACCGTCGTTCGAATATTTGGGGATTATTAGTTCTATTTGTTTTTGCAGGATTTGCGTTTTGTTGGAGTGGCGGGGAGAAATTTAGCGCCGAATTAATTTAATTTGGACAGGCGAAGGGTTAAGGTCAAAGGTTACATTGCACGGAAACCTGTTAGCGTGTAGCACGTAAAATGTTTTAAAACGAAGGCGAAGTGAGGCTGGTTTATTGTTGAATAAACAGCAGTGCGTATAGTGAACATTCGAAATGGTAAAATTACTTATGGTTGGGGAGAGCGGTTGTTTTTCATTTTAAATGGTTTGGAATTCGAGCGGCCAGATTGATCACATGAATAAGTTAAGTCAACTGCTGTGATTTGAAAAAAAGCAAAAAATAACGGTCGGTTTGTGAGGGTTGGACCCTCGACCTCTGGGGATTTTAACCCGATTATGCCGCAGGACAATTTTTTTCTCTTTCGGCAGAGAACTGCTCAAATGTTGAAATTTGTGGAATATTGGCTGATTTGTAACTTGGAGGAAATAAACACAAATACGGCAAATTAGAAACGAACGAAATTCAAACAGAAAATAATATTTGTAACATGACTCCTCTCTTTTTTCACTAGAGATAAAATAAATTTAATAAAATTAACCACATTCGAATTTCTTATTGATCAAATTAAGAACGAGTTACCCGATTTCCCAAAAATGTGAGAATACGCACGTCATTATTTAATAATGATTAAATAGAAATTATAATAATAATGAGATTCAGAACGTTTTGCTCGAATCTGGTTTAGTTATTAATTTTAATCCTCTGTTTTGAGGCGACAAACTCATTCAAATCAAACTGAGTTCTACGTGACATTCCTCCGATGTGCAAAGATAAACATTTCAAGCTGCTATTAATGCTGAGAGACTATTTTTACTTATTGAGTGTAAGCTAAGGAAGTAGAATAATCGAGTCCACCGGACGACTTGGTACTTTCATATTTTCTCGACGTTTTATGGCTCTTAGACGGACCCGTAACTAGCGTTAGGCCAAAACAAGTTATAATTAACCAAATGTGAATTACAACTTCGAAAATCAAAATAAAACGCAATGTTTTATTTAATAAGCAAAAGCATAAAACTTGAAAAACAGTACCAGGGTGTTGAAAAATTGATGCGAAAATTTCTAGAAAAAATGCCGTTTGTCATTATACTCACTTAAGTTTAATAACAAAAAAATTTCAATTTGCCATAAATTACTCGTATCCCTGATTACGCAAATCAAATTATGACGAATACCAAAACATTCATTTGACACACGCAAATGTTGAAACATTTAATACAATTTTTTTAGTGGAATTTTGAATAAATGATATACAGACAGATTTATCACAAGGCATAAAGTCAAACAGTTGATTAAATTTTGAAGGCACTTATTAAAAAAAATGATCGAAAGTTATTTCGACAGAAATTTCTTATTCCTGAAAGTACAATAAAATATATCTAACTCTTGCAATCCATGCTTTGATTTCTAGCTTCCGTATTTTTTGTAAATAATTATTTTCAGGTTTTGTTGAAAATTTAATCAATTGTTTGATTTTATGCCTTACTTATTTCTACAACATTTGACAGTGGCACACTTTTCTTAAAACCCAGTGACATATTTGCCACTGATACGAAGAAAAAACTTGAGTCTTTGTAAATCATGAGACAGCTAACGAGCTTAATTTTCTTCCAGACAATATGTGGCTTCAACTGGATGTCTATTAATACGCAAGTTGATTAAAGGACAGGATATCAAGCTGGCTTTGAGATTTCGTGAATTTTGCCGCTTCGTTACAATTTTGTCGTAGGTGTCATAACAACACATCACTACATCACCTATGACAAAATTGTTTAATAAAATAACAAAGCGGCAATTTTTTCTTTAAGTGACAGCCAACCTGATGTCCGATCTTTTATTTATTTAATTTATGACTATTAAAATTCACCAATATCAAAATTTTACTTAATGTCCAATGAAAAATATAATGCTTTCCCGGCGCCTCCACCAAATTTTGCTTTACTAATGTTATTCAACATGGAATAAAATTTATTTAGTTAATTAATTTAAACTCGTATACGTATAATAGTTATTTACATTACAAACCACATAAGTAAACTTTTTGCCGAGGTGGATTTAACGGACCGAGGTCCGACAAACCTCCG